AAAGCATAGTTGACAGAATCATAAAATACTTGTTTTAGATATGGCCAATTTTAGGGGACTTTGCTATTTATAGACTAAATCAGCATATTTCTAGCATCCAACCGCTAAACTTTGGCAGTTGCATTCTTTTTCCTTTCTATCAAAAATATCTAATTTTTCTACCCAAGAGCCTGCGAGATGTGTCCGAAATCTGACAACTTCGTGAAAAACATCTTTGGCGGAGACTTCGATCCAAAGAAAAAGTATGTAATTGCCATACAAGGTGTGTCGACCAGTGGAAAGTCAACATTCGTGGAAAAATTAAAAGATGTGCTGGCGAATAGATGTAGGAAGTCCTGTAAAGTAGTGGCAGTGTCAACAGACAACTTTTACATGGACAATCCATTTAAAACACAATCGCAGGAGGAGATTGGCAGATATGACTTTGACAATCCAGCAGCCATAGACTGGAATGCAATGTTCAAATGCTTCAAATCATATCTCAGCGACGATAAAAAATGTACTAAAAGTTCGTATGATTTTATATCAAAAATTAGAAGCGAAACCCAAATTGAAAACCCAGGATTTAACGTAATTATTGTTGAAGGAATTTTTGCCCATAATTTATTTAATGAAAAAATTTTTAACGTTTCACAGTACGATAGTTTCAATTCCGCAAAGGAAGTAACGGCTCCATACATTGAGAACACGTACATTAACAAACTGCCAAAGTTTAAAATATTAAAGCTATTTTTAGACTTAGACAAAGAGACCATGCTTCGAGCCAGAATCAGAGTCGATAGACTAAGATCAAAAATGTCCAAGGAGGAGTCCATTGCCCGTTTCAATAACTTTGTGTATCCAGCGACTTTAAAGTGGGTAAAAACGGCAAACTCCTGCAACACTCATAAGATACTAGCAAGGGGTACCAGAAATATTGATGAGTGCAGCAAGGTATTTACTGAGATAGCAAACTTTTTTGGAGCAGGTATTACGGAGGAATATCTCAGCAGTTATCTGAGCCAACTGGCTAACGCTATTCATGAAGATGAGATGGATTAAATTAGTTATTTTTGATTAAACATCATAAATGCTTTGCTAATATAGAGACATTATTGTATAATAAAAAGTTGAGATACTCTCTTTGAATAGAACCATAGCTGTGTTGTCTATAATTTATTAAAAACAAACCATGGTTTAATGCCATAGCTGCAGTTTATCATTTCTTGATGAATAGCACCCTTTTATTGAGGTTGCAGGGTCTACCTAATATCTGTACATTAAGATTCTTTTGTTTGGCACATTTTGTTATATTTTCCAGTTCAATATTGGCTGTATAGTCAACATATTTGGTATCCAGCAGATCAAAAACAATGTTGTTTTTACAGTGCTGCAATTTTTCGGAAACACTTTGAATGTTCACGTGGGTTAGCGGACCCTGAACTTTAACAACCATTGTGTTTTCAACCTCCTGGAGCACCACCGAAGCTTCGCTGCCAACTTTCCGTGAGAAGTAGTACGAAATTGCAAGATTGGTAATGGTACCTAAAATAAGCACGATCAAAGCATTCATACTAGATACAACCGCAATAAAACTCAGAAATGCCAAAACAATCTTGTCGATTGTTGTAAGAGTGGGGAATAGCTGGAGATATCCAAGCATAATAGAAAACCCTATGAATTGCGATAAAAGAGAAATTGCAAATGTAGGAAGAAGGGGAGTGACGTACTGGTAAATAATAAAGAGAAAAAGCAGGGAAACACCTGCAAGTATGGAATGGAGCTTTTTATCTGCACCACATATTCTGAACAGAACTGAGCCAGTGCAACTAATATGAATTGGGAAGCGTAAAATAGAAGAAAAAAGACTTGCTAGTCCAAAGCTTCTCAGTTCTTTGTCGTAGTCAACGTCCAAGTTGAAGTGTTTTGAGTAGTATGGCAGTGTTGTAGAAAATGAAATTATTGGAGAAATACCAACTGTGGTAACTTGAGCAAGGTTGTACACCAACTTCTTTAAATCAATCGTGCCCTTAGTTGCCGAATGCATGAATGAACTGCAGTTCAGCGGAGTGCCTTCATCTGTGATAAAGAGACCATTCTCTACTAAAAATTTAGGATCATAAAATACTTTTGACAAATTCATCAAAACTATCAGGGCTATCAGGTACAGTATAAGAAACCTTGGGTTTTTTGTTGATTTCAGAATAGCCATGGCTATAACAGTAATTGCGAAGGAAACAAAGCAAAGAGCAATTGACAGTTCTGTTTTATTTTCAACCAGAAGTCTTTTGAATCCTACGTAGATGTTAAAGACTGCTGTAGCAACCATCAAAGAGTCTATGACATTTAGCGGTATTTTTGACAGTATGCTGCCCATTTTAAACAAGTATATCGAAAGGCAAATGAAGAATGTTAAGAGAGAGGCCAACGAAAGGCATAGAAGGGTGTTAGTTAGCGCATCTTCAGGGTTTGTATAGCTCTGGGATATTAATTTTGAAGATTCAAAAAGCTCAAACATTGGAATGACTAAAAATCCGCTGTCAATTGAAGAAAAGATTGGAAAAGATATCTGTCCACAGAGGGTTGAAACAAAAAAAATACACTTTGACTCATCTTTAAACCATCCAAAGCCATTTTCCAGCAGCAAGGGACCGAATGTTTCTATGAATATCGGCGTGATTATCAATACACTGAAGATTGAGAGCATGTATGAGACGAGCCTTTTGTATACGAGTGCGTATCTCATGGGCAAATTTCTCAAATAAGTTTTAGAGATATAAAGGAGAAATCCTCCTTAATTAAGCTTAACCACGTAGTCTCATGCATGTTCAACAGAGCTCCACCTGTCGAAATGATACACGGTGCAATATAGAAGAGCAAACAGTATTAGTAAACTAGTAGCTAAATAGAATATAGCATAGACATCCAAAAGATCGTTTTAAGCTACAACTTTATTTACTTAATCCTTTTTCATGCACAGCACTCCGGGTGCAATACACGCGACGGCTAGTAACAAGTATACAACTGTAATGAGCCAGAACCATCCTCCAAGGTCTCCAGCACCATCGACTGCAGTAAGTGTTAGATAATATATACCACCCTCTAATGATGTTTTGACACTAGTAAAGAGACCACATAGTAACAGTACTATACCTATTGTAGCAAATATAGCTCCTAGTATAAACAGAACAATGCTTAAAGGCTTACGGCCTGAACCTGACGACGACTGTGTATCTGCCATGGTATTAGAAGATAAAGTTTTCTTATATATTTTTTATTTTCAAACAGCATCAATGGACAAATTAATTCCGAGGTTTTAAAACATAATGAACAAATGAGCATTGTCAGGAAATTGGTGTAGCCAATCAGAAAAACGTCATAATTGATAGATGCTAATCAAACTAATGCTTGTATCATTTGGTGTTATATCGTAAAATAGAAAATACTTGGATGAAATCAGCTGTCAGTGAGTAGAGATGCTGGCGAGCATGCATCATCAAATAATTGAGCCAATGAAAACCATTCAGATCTCTATTACGATGCTATCTCAACCAACAGCCTGCCTAGCATGTGAGCGAATTGCTGATTTAGATAGAAAACCGTTATCGGCTGCCGACGTAAGATAGTAATATCTAATCAAAGCAAACATACTGTGCATTTTGAATTACAAATTTATCTTATATCTCGTGCTTATTCATATATGCATATTAATTCTACAGTTCAAAATGATTGGCCGCAGCTAGCCGAAGGAACTGTTTCATCGGGTGGTATGTCAATTCTTTCTATTTTGATTTTTTTTGTTTTTAAAACAATGCCATATTTTGTACTTTCAAGGCTGTTTACCCTGAATGCTCCAACAGAGCTAACTTTCAACAGCTCAAGATAGCCGATGTAATATGACGTTTCATGAGGAAAGAGCAAGTTAGAGCGGATCTGAATAATGTTATCGAAAAAGACAGACGTTTCTTCATCAACAAGGAACTTTGGAAGCGAGAGAAACACAGTGTGTTTATTTAGTCTAGCATATTTTTTAATTTCAAAAAGAGTCTTAAAAATTTGATCGGGTGTAAACTGTCCAAAAAGTGGCGAAAAAAGAGAGAAGATCACCGTCTTTAAGGCTTCCTTCGATTTCAAAATGCATAACAGTTCATCTAAACTATTCACTATCATTTCTTTGGGCAATGGCTGCTTCGACAGTAAGTTCCATTTGAACTTCGGTTCAGCGGGGCTCATGCTTTTATAGCGCCAGGCTATGAGTAGGTTTTTTGGTACTTCTGGCTCTTCTTCAGATTCCTTTTGCGCATAAAGGAATCTCAGAAGCAGCTTGTCTTCGCAGCTAAGCACAAGACATTGCTGGTTTCTGTCGGTGCATGAAGAAACGAATGTTTGAAGCATTGTATTATGGAAGAACGAGTTTTGATCCTCGTAGATGCAGCTTACGGTTCCATCGGAAAGCTCTATAAGCTTGTCTAATGTGGGAATGCCACTTGAAATCGAGCTTGAGGATGTTTCAGAGGGTTTTTGGCACTTTACAAAGCCGCTCATTTTAATGCTTGGAGGGCTTGAGAATACAAAAACGATTCATGGTGTTGAAAGGTTGTCTCTATGACTGCAAACAATAAAGTCCAATGCTAAAGGCCAGTTCGTTGAAGTGAAAAGCAAAAGCATGTAGAAATTCTACTAGATAGATAGCTAATGTTAAGTAAATGAACATATTTATTAATTATGTTTGAAATACAGTCACACAGCCAGGCCACAAAGCAGCAATGCACCACACAGTTTTAGCTCCCAATCCGACCTGAAATAGCATTCAATAAGTCTTCGGATTTTTCAAAGTTTTCAGTGATTTTTTCAATAAAACGCTCAAACGACGGCAAGCTTTTCATGTTCTGCAAAACACCAACGCTTTTTGATATCCTGTTTTGATAAAACTGTGCAGTGTTTTCAATTATCACAGAAAACAACTCAACGATGCACGTGGCTTCAAAGCAGTTTGGATCATCAAAGTCTTTGAATACCCCAGATAAATGTACTTTACGGTCTAGGCTCCTGCACAAGATACCTTCTAGAATTAAAATAGTATTTTCCCAGATTATGTTGGCTAACACTTGTGTATTATCGTTTCCAACATCCTTGTTGTCCAAAAACTCATCCACAAGTCTATCTTTAACTTTATCCTCATCTAGCTCTGAAGTGTCTATCATTGCACAATCTTCTTTAATACTATTGGCCATGCCACTATTGCGTTGTGCAGCTAGCTGATGCAGACTTTGTTCGGAGTTGACTGCATTTTCTGCTATTCTCAGATCCCCAACCTTATACTGTTTGACAATTTCCATCAAAATTCCATATTTGTAGAAATTGGCTTCGTTATCTCCTTCAAAGTCAAGATACACGACATTATTGAATATGTGCTTGAGCGTTGTTCTGGAAAAACTTCTGTATAGTAGCAGCTGATGTGTCCAAAACAGTACATTTCTGGACACAACCTTGTCATCAAGAAAGGAGAGCTTTTCGTAAATAATATCGTCAATTACCACGAATGGATTTAGAGAAACCAAGTTTCTTATGTATTGTTTCATAAAGTACTGGTCCTTACTTTTTATGAAATAGAATAACTCCGGAAATGTTTCCGCGTGTTGTCTTAGACTTTTACAATTGTCAAATCCTGTGTTTTCAATATTTTTGAAGTCGTAAATACAAAAGACTGCATCTATCCACAAATCTCTTGGAAATGCACCAGCATCATTGGAATGGATGATTGCCATCAGACCTTTAGCTAGCATTTCTTTACTAAATTCTTTGTCTTTATTGTTTTTGGTGTGAGAAGACCATTCTATGCTGTAAAAAGACATTCAATCAAACAGGGGCTAACAAAAAGTACCGTAGCCTATAATATGGTGCTGGTTCTTTAGGAGCTAGGTGCTGTAGAGATTGGATATGCATTGAAAATGAGCATTGAGCTGCAACTTAGCATTGCAATTCTACTACAATCATCTCCATTATGTAACATGGTTTCAATTCCAAAACATTAAAACTCCAGAGACAAGTCTTACAATGGGGAGCGAAGCCCAGCCAGGTGTTAGATGGAGCGCATTTAAAATATTAATCACACTAATTTTGATGGGGCTTGCAGGATACTGTATTTACATGGCGTTTGAACCAATAGTAGTGGAATCTGACTACAGCCTTAAAAGCTGGGTCAGCTTAATTTTTGCTGCCCTGATGGTTTTTTTCATTTTTAGCATATTTAAGGTGCATAGAAATTACCAATTTGTTTTCTGGGCGTGCAGCTTTGGAATGTTTATCTTCGTGAGTTTTATGTTTTTCAACTACGACAGTCTATTTGATTGATCCGTAGAACCGGCAAGTCTGGAAACTATTTGATTAAATGCTTGCCTACTTACACTACCAGCAAAAGACACTTCTTTTTCTTGGATACAGCTGACCAGGTGGACCATTCTTTCACTAATAAATTATATCTTTGTATCAACAGCATAACACTGTGTTCTACTCTGACCATACAGACTTATTTAAAAATAGCCAGCAGCAATGGAAAAGGAAGTAATGTGAACGAATACTGTTTATTGTTAAATTTTCATTACGTTAATCCTGCCCAGCTCACTTCCAAACACCTTACTTTTCTTCTGAAGCTCCGCAACCAGCCTGGCATTTTCATTTCTCAGGGCCTTGTTTTCAGCCGCCTTCTTGTCCAAGTATTTTTTACAAATCAATAGCTCATTTTTAGCCTCTCCAAATTGATTTTTGAATTCCTGAAGAATGGCCTGTGTCTTTTTATCCATTCCGCCTTTGCTATTTGCAGTGGACTGGGCTGCATTTGCCGCCTCCTTCTTCAACACATCCATCTTTCTGTATATTTCGGCATGTTTTTCCTTGAAGAACACTATGATGCCATTCAGGCTTGTGTACTTTACTTTTAATTTAGACATTAGATTTCTATTCTCGTCGGAAATATAGCAGAATGCTTTAAACTGCGCTAACTTTTCACTGAGATCCACCAAACTTGCAGAAACCCCCGAAAGCTTCTGTAAAATTAGTATCTTGAATTTATCCATACCGTTAAGATAAATCCTGTGTTCCTTATTTATCTTCTCAACTGTTTCCTGAGTACATTTTAATTTAAACTCACAGTCCTGCTTCTGTCTCTGAAGGTCATCAACCTGTGTCCTTAAGGTTGTTTCAATCGACCTCATCTCATCCAATACACTCTTATCTCTCATCTGTGCATTTAGAGTAGCCTTTAAGTCTGAGATAATGAATGAACTGTTCTTTTCCTTTTGCAACGCTGCATCCAACTTCTTTTTAAGGTTCTCAACCTCAAACATCCTATTTTTAACCTCTGTCTCCGCCTCCCTTTTGAAGCTTTCATACTCTTGCTTAATTTCATTATAGTGGTTTTCATATTCGTATCTTATTTGTTCATTTTGTTTTTCAAGATTTTGAATCGTCGATCTTAATTCATTTAACTCATTCTTAACCATACCTGTTTCTTGTATTTCCCTGTTGAACTTTTCCAATCTTAGAAGTAGTCTTTTATTTTCATCCTCAAGCAGGCTGTTCTTCTCATTGCAGCCAGCAAGCTCCTGACTGTATTTATTCTCCAGAAGTCTCTTTTCCTGCAGAATATTCTCATATGCCTTGTTTAGATTATCAAGGGAATTTTGCATCTCCTGCTTCTGGACCAAGAGTGCGTCCATCTCCTGCTTATTTTCATAAAGAACCTTTGGAATGTTGGAGTGAGCCAGCTGTGCTTTTAACTCAAAGTTTTCTGTTTTGAGATGGGCTATCTCATCCTCATAATCCTTTACACATCTTACATTTGTTAGTGGGTTGAAGTGTAATGAAAATGACCTATTGTTATCCATCAATGGGGTGTGGCAGAATTTTCTGAAAATAGGCGGGACAGATGCAAAGCATCAGAAAACGAGTAGCTGTGGCATTTACATATCAGACACTTAGTTTAGTGCCATAGTCTCTTTATGCATTATGTAAAAGACTGCCTGTTCGACAAGAGTATACTTAAGGAATTTGTCACATTATCCTCCCGTGCTTTATTTGTACTTACTGGCTCTAATTTTTGACTCAACCCTCCAAATGGTCCCAATTCTCATCGGATCACAGACTGGAAATGGTCTTCATCTTGCAAAGCTGCTAAACAAAGAAATACCGAATACATTTACACTTGCAATTAATGAGTTTGACATTCTGAAAATCAACGAATTTCCATTTATCATATTTATCATGTCAACACACGGGGACGGGCAATGCCCATTCAACATGTCCAGAATGTACAATTTGCTAGTATCTCAGGGTGCCAAGAAGCATAATAAAGATAGTCTGCTGTTCAATTTTAAATTTGCCATGCTGGGGCTGGGTGACTCTTCATACCAAAAATACAACTACTGTGCCAGAATTTGTAGTGAAAAAATGCAGCATTTGGGTGCAAAGTGCATTGTTCAAGAATTGTGCGATTCACAGGATCCAAATGGAATGTATGATGGATATAGAAGATTCAAGGAGAGTATTGCTGCTATTTACTCTTCAGAATTGTGCAGTAATCTTACTGGAGAAAGTGTAAAAAACGAAAATATTAAAAAATATAAAGCCAAAATAGTATCAAATAGAGAACTGACCCCGCAGGGCTATGAACATATGGTATATGAAATAATCTTTGACATTCCAGAATATATTGATTTTTATCCTGGAGATTGCTTGTCAATTGTGCCTGAAAATACGATCGACTTAAGAGAGTATTTTAATTTTCCAGACAATCAAATCGAATTTCTCAGGAAGAACATTGACTTTTTTGCAACTGTTCAGCAAACAAGCTTTATAGAGCTCTCTAGTTTCACAGATTCAGACGTCTTCAGGGAGAAGCTACTTGAAATATCCCAAGACTATGACCTGTACTATGACTATGTTATTATCCCTAGAAGAAATATCATAGAGATTATAGAAGATTTCAAGCTGGGTGTTACATTTGATTTTTTGAAGGGCCTTAACAGCATTTATCCCAGATACTTTAGCTGCACTATGACTCAAGAGCAAGGCAATGGCGAGAGCAGAGCTCGATATCATGTTTTGTACAATATTGTGCGATACAAAACATACTTAGACAAGGAACGATTGGGCCTATGCTCACAATATCTTACAACACTGGCACCAGGCGATTGCATCAATATAGGAGTAACAAGAAGTTCACTGTTCTTCGAAGAAAAGAATCTTCTGTTCTTTGCAACTGGCACTGGAGTGACACTCCCAAGGTCAGTAATTCATTTTTTCAAACATAAAACTGTTAAAATTTTCTATGGTTTTAGATATTATGATAAAGACCAGCTATGCAAGGAAGAGTTCTCGGAAAATGTAGATATCACATATGTAGCCAGTAGAGATGAAAAGAAATATATAATGGATGCATACAGGGAGTCGCCGGTGGATAACATTGATTCATGGCTTGTTTTTGCGAGTGGAAATTGCAGGATAAATAGGAGCGTGCATCAGGTTTTGAAAGACGTGCATGGAAAAGACGTGGTATTCCAGTCCGAGACCTGGTAATGGATTGGCACACTGCAGAGCTGCCACTTAACTCAACCACACCAATCAATGGCATATTTGTAGTGGTTGACAAGAAACAAGCTTACTTGTTGAAATTGTAATATGGATCATATAATAAAATTTGATATCTATCATAATCCAAATAAATAAGGTAATATTATGCATGACAGCCCTATCAAAACATTTGACGCAGTCGTACCTAATGCGTTTTAGATTTAAAGACGCATATTGGTTTAAGACCAAACAAAAGTTTTAGGTGAAAGCAAGGTCGGCCAGCATACGTTAGTTGCCAGTGGCATATGCCCTAGTCCATCCACAGGCCTATTTACCATGTCTCTTTGTTTGTATTGGTATTGCCTTCATTATTTGTTTACATTGCTTTATTTGAATTAATTTATTAAATTAAATCAACAATTTTCAAATATAAAAAAGAATTCTAGCAAGCCCATAATGAAATCTTTAATTGTTAAACTTTTCTCGGTGTTAATTATGGGAGTATATGCTGCTAAAGAAACCAAGAAGTCCACCACTTCAACAAGCAATCCCAATGTTGATAATCAGGACCCAAATGATCCGAACGCAGCCGACAACCAAACCACAACTTCAGATACCAGCTCATCACATACAATACCTGGTCTTGTGTTCGCTGTAGTCCTCCTGGTTACAGGTCTTACAATGTAATAAACTGGTTGATTCAAGTCTTTGTTTAACACAGGATATAGGGTTTAGTTAAGACTCGTATTTTCTTTATGCCGGTTCCTATCCCAGGGACGCAAGTTTATGAACTATGTGCTGCCACCCGTCAATACAGAAGACGTTGTGACACAAGATATAACGATGCGTTTAATATAATGGAATTGGTTTATTGATCTGAGGACAGCTTTCCCAACCATTTGCTGATTGAGACCTTGAGTTTATAATGTACAACCTGCCTAATCAATATGCTTAGCCTAAACAACTAAAAGGCATATGGCCAGTATCGAAATATTAATCATCTTGCTAGACCATAATCGGTTTGCTCAACCTATACACCAATGCTCGTTTCTACCTACAGCCTTACATTGTCTCCCGATGAACTCGCCTGTGTCACCACCCATTCTCTATCTTCATCTATTCCTTTCTTAATATAATCAGTAAATTTCTTCATTATCGGATTTTTAAAATGAATTCTTCTGAGATAATCAAAGACTGTTGCTTCTGAAAAACTATTAAAAAGAACATCAAAATCAGCATTTCTAGCTTGCGACTGCTCCTCAATCAGCATTTTTACAAAAGACCATATTTTTTCTTTTTCTAAGCATTCCTTTCCACCCTGTGTCGATATTTTTTTGTAAATCACCAGACTTACTGTACTTAGTGCTTGAAAATCCGGATCTTCCTTGATTTTAGGATATTCGTTGATAATGGTCTTGAAGCACTCAAATCCTTTCAGAAACACGGCCATGTCATCGCCATGCCTGTTCTGAAGAAACTTATCTTCGTAGAATCTTAGCATTTGCAGGACTTTTAGATACATCTCCTTCAAATATAGCTGCTTGTCCAGAGGAAGACCTTCCGATCTGATTCTTTTACAAAGGACTGTTGCAATCTGAAGACATGTAGCAGCTATGCTTGGCGAAGACCCACTCTGGTATATCTCAATAGCTTTTGAGAGTATGTAGTCATAGTAAAAGACATCTACAAGAAATTCGTCTGTTGCAATGTTTTCCATGAGGTGAAAATTTTTGAAAATGCTGTCATAAAGTAACAGTGATACAGAAATAAACTAATATGAACGGAACATACGATTAAGAGGTTAAAAACTGCATCGCTTCAAAAATTTAATCTGCAGAACAGCAAATGAGCTGGATAAATCCTATAATCGAGAGGTAAATAATTCTTGGAGTAATTTGGTGTGTTGCAATAAATCTGTATTATATACTCGAGCTAGTTGAGCTGTGCTTTATTTCGAATTCGTTCTGCTTCTTCTCAATATTATAATGCGAAAATTTAAAACTATATTTGTTTATCCAAACAATTTGAACATCAACGAATATAAAAGACCCGAGATGGCTATTCCCATGAGCTGTGCAGAGAAGTCAGGATAGCTTGAAATATCTCTAATTAATTGAATGTTTCCATTGCCGTCTCTCACACCAATCTCAATTCCTCTTTCGATATCATCCTCATACTCATGCATTTTTCTTGGTGGTTTGATTATTTTGAACTTTCTTCCAAAGTATCTCGGATGATCCGACTTTTCAGCTCCAAGCACGATGCAGTGTGCAGGAATGGTGATCCAAGACTTAACATCTGTCAGGATAGTGGATGAATATGATGATTGACTGACTATGGAAGGCTTGGAGAATGCAATGAGTAGCATAGTAATACACCGCAGGGTAAGGTATGTTTTAATCATCATTGGGGCACTGCCCAAGCTATGATATATAGAACTTTGTTATGTCTGGAAAGAATAAAGATGGTTTTTTGAAGTCTGTACTGTATATCTCAGCAGTTCTTAGCATGTGAATGGCCATGCTTAATGTTTGTATGGCGTCTGCAGATCAATAAAATATTTTGATACTACCATCGAGCCATCCTAGATTTCTTTTGTCCAAACCTCTTTTTATTTTTACATTTTCCTTCCCTCTCCCATGGGAAATACTCAGTCAGTGCCAAAACATAACTTCTACCTCACAAAAGTATCAAACACTGACCTACCGCTGGTTCCCTTTATACACACAATTGTTGGCTACAATGCCACTCCTGTCAAGGACACAGATCCTCTTGTGCTCAGAGAGATTCTAAACACCCAGGATTTGTGCCTTGAAGTATTTGATATTTTACTTAATAGGCGGTTCAAGGTAACAATACCCAAGTTTGGTGATAGTACAGAGAAGCTGGGAATAAACGTCATTAAATTAAAGAGCATACCCACTCTTTTGAAGATACAGATTATATCAGTGAAGGAGTCATCAAACACACTCCTTAAAACAGGTGACTGTATTGTTGGCATTGAAAATTCCCATGTTGAGAGTGAAGACGAGTTATTCTATGAAATCAAATCAACTAGGAAGATAGGACTGGTAGTTCTGCGAGGCAATAAGGGATATGTCGTGGAATGTGAAGGTACAGAGCTAGGATGCGAGATAGGATGTGGACTATTATATTCAATACCTGAAAGGGAGTATTTTATGAGTGAGTATACAGGAAGGATAAAGAAGGAGGTTGAAGAGTCAAGCACTGTTTCAAGCCAAGGTGAACAAGTCAACTCAGATATTGTGGGAATAACAAATGTTGAAAATCAGGATCAAAAGACCAGTTCAGGTAGTGCCAGTATCCAAGTTGGCAGCGACGTAGATGATCAAAAAATGGATTCAAATAACAACATTCTGCTAGAAAAGGAATTTACTAATAATTTTAATAGTTCAAACATGTATTTCATATCTCAATCTGTGAAAGACTCGATAAAAGAGGCTATTATTGAGAACAGCGATAATTTGAATACAGTTGTTTCACTGGGAAGTACAGCCATAACCCAGGATCATCTACCGGCGATGAAATCTGTCGGATCTCTGTGCGAGCAAAAAGAAATGGCCACAACGGGCACTTTCAATATGAGTGAAATAGGAAAGTCGATTGAGGATATAGAGAACAGCACAGCAGACGACAATACTAATGCAAAAAGCCGTCCTGAAAATGACAGATCTCATCCACAGATACCTGAAAGGCTTGCAGAAGGCGCGCCTGGTAAACATCCGTTCAACGTCGTACACAGTGATAAAACAGCCAGCTACGTTTACAGGTCCCCACGCAATAATATCAAGAACCAGAGCATCCACTCCGCCGTGCCTATCAACCAGGTAAATGCCAGCCGTATTTACGACGAGGCAGAAGTCCCTAGTGAAAACCAATACTTCCAGGGCCAGCATACAAAAAATGACGACGAGCATGCCAATGTCGTTAGTTCAAGTGTGGTCTGTAAGGAAAATTATATCTTCAAGGACGGAGAGATGAAAATGAAAGATGACGTTTTTGAAGAGAGAAGGCATGATGAAAATGCTAAAAAGAACTGGAAAGACATTTTTGAAGAGGATGATGAAAGCTTGCCTTTTGATGAAAAGAGAAAGGATGTTGCTAATAGTATTAAGGATTTGTAGTAATTAAAAAGACACTCAGCATTCATGTTTGTAAAGATACTAACTGTTGTTTGGTATTATTTTCCGTGGTTAAAAAGTTTTTATTTGCATCCCTTATTCGTCACGCAATGTTGGCTGGGGCCTTTAACACGAAGTACAACAATGCAGAGCAATATAGTCCATCGCTGGAAAGAGTCGAAGCAAAGAAGAAAGCACCAGGCAGTGCTGGCCACAGACAGCGGCTTACATCCTCTCAGACAGATGTTGTTTTTAAATTGACAAATAGAAGCATTCTTGGGTCGAGCTTTAAAAATGTAGAGTACGACCCAGAAAAGGATCAGCTTGGGAGGATTATGTGAGAACCATCCAAACACACAATAGAGTCCAGAAGAATGTTAAAAATACCAAATAAACCAAACACTGATACTGCAAAAATATAAATTAGCTTAAGACTGTACAACTTTATTTACAGCAAAATAGCCGATGCAATTGCCATGCATGCAAAAATGGAACAGAAAATTCCAGAGGCCGAGTTGGTGTTCTTTCTCTTCTTTCCAGAAGTGGTTTTGGTGCCCTTCTCGTTCTTATTAACGGGCTTGTTAGTGTAAGTTGTATTCTTATCGCTCTCTGCACTATGTAGCTTCTGGGCAATGGAATTGTCCTGCTCAGCCGTTCTACTAGGCACCCATGCTTGTGACTTCTGGTCGAGGGCGAATGGTCTAGAGTAGATATCCTGGCCATCTTTCCTATACATGACACAGTAGTGTGCATCCTTATCATATCCCTCTGGGAATACTAGCTCCATACTGTTGGACATATTGGTCCTCTCTGATGGGTACTGGATGACAGGTGACCAGCTGTATTGGTCATCTGGAGTCCTAGTCTTCATTAAGTAGAATGAGCCACCTGGCTGAGCGGTATGATTTACCATTGCATGTGGCTGGGATCCTACCATTTTAACACCATCAAGATTGACATACGACCTGGGTCTGGATGCAACGGGTGCTGCAGATACGGCGGAGGTGTTTGAGGAGGGCTTAGTACTTGTCTTGCATGAAATAAGACTTAGCAGAGATAGTATTAACATTTATGGGGTGCTCTAGTTATTTTTTATAATAAATAGGCAATATTTTGAAAGTATTAAAATTTTATTAAAATTAATTTGATCTATTTATATAAACAAACAAAGTAAAAGTTGTAAAGATGAGAATGATGGGTTGCATGGTGGCTGTGCGGTGCTTAGGATTGTTTCTAGATCAGGCCTACATTTTCACAATTTTTCTGTATAACCTGCTATTTGAATTCATTTTGCAAACGATTTGATTTTGTTTACATTCCAGCTATTTTCGATGCTGAGGTATTCATTGGCTATACACGTTGAGCAGCACTAAACATGAAATAAAGAATACTGTAATATGAACAGATACCCTAAATTATATCGGCAGAATCCTTGGAGAAGAGTGATAAATGGAGCAACAATTTTGAATATGGCATTTGATATTAAAATTATGTACTACTAAAAACTTTGATCAAAATTTTATTGCAAAATAGACATTGATTTTCTTCTTTTTCTGTACAGAGCTGTTGAAAGCCCAATAAGTCCAAGCACACCCGTAATTCCCATTGCAATCTGGAACCGCAGATCCTTCCAGAACTTTTTCTTAACTGCAGATGATAGTGCAAATTGCTTTCTATCCGCATCATATGTCCAGTTTTCGCTAAACGCATGACCGCCTTCCTCAAAGGTGTATTGGAAGCTGTACGTTGTACCTTCAACAGCTAGGTCTTCTGGAATTTCGATTCTGGAATATCCATTTGACTGCGGAGAACCAACAGGCGTTAGTCTTACCCTTGCAACAGCCTGGTCATTCTTATCATCAATAACCTCAAAAATTGTAACTTCGGAGACAGCCTCAGCAGGAGTAAGAGAAAAATCACAAAAGTGTCCGGTTTCGTCCTTTCCAAAGACAAGAAATTGTGTTAATTCTTTGGTGCTGATCAGGTTCAACAAGGCCAATAGTTGCAATAGCATGGCCGACATTTCATTCACATTTTTATAAATAAAAATATTTGTATTTACTCTTTTAATTAATAATTGATAATCTCAAAACAAATAAAAATAGCAATAGAAAATGATAGAGGAGAGCACTTATAAGTACTTCTTCTTCAAGAAGGCAAAACCGAACAGTAGATTAGTAAGACAGACACTCCCGATGGCCTGTGGTAGCCATTCTTGAAGGAGCGGCAAGGCCTGTGCATCATACATCTACAAGCATTACCATGAGTATAAATAGCTTTGAGCATGGAAAAGGACGTCATTTTGGACTAGATGGTGCCTGCGTCTGCCTATCTATTTAAATTAGTGAATTTTTGGACTTGTAATTTTTGATTGCCGATTTTATTGCATCCTCTGCAAGCATCGAACAGTGCAATTTTATTGGTGGAAGTGATAGTTTTTGAGCAATTTGGTCGTTACTAATTCTTAGCGAATCTTCAATGCTCTTTCCCTTGACTAGCTCTGTTGCAAGACTGGACGATGCTATGGCACTTCCGCAGCCGAATGCTTTGAATTTTGCATCTACGATTTCGCCATTATCATCGACTTTTATCTGAAACTTCAGAACATCTCCACAAGCTGGGGCTCCAACTACTCCTGTTCCTATGTTTTTGCCATCATCAAATGATCCTATGTTTCTCGGATTGTTGAAATGGTCCATAACCTCGGTTGCATACTTTGTGTCAATCTTTTGAATACTTGTCATGTGGGCCAAAAAGAAAATTGAAACTAAGGATGAGGATTCACAAGTAAAGACAGACATGCAAGCATTCAGATACAACGCGTAAGTTAGTTTGAAGACAGCAACATCCATTCTACAATCGACCATTGTCGGTTTTTGTTCCAAATATTTTCTTTTGGTTGCCCATGGAAGAAGAGTCGCTTTGCTTCTACGACCAAAATTTTCTGACACAAAACCAGCTAACACCAGAAAACATAATTCAATACTTTTCTTTCTCTCCGTTTTACGATAAAGGCTGTCTGAATGAGATTTTGAAAATGCAGAGCCAATTTGCAAATATTGACATTTCCCACAAACTAACAACTCTTCCTGGAATATATTACATTCTCGAACACCATAACACAGATCTTTTCATAATTGCAAAGAAAAAGAACACTGATCAGAAGACCGCAACACTCAAAGTGTACTACTGCATGTACGGATATATTTACTGTGCGCCCACCGCTAGAGCCGTATCAAATTCCAAAGCTATTGATTGTCTTTCATATTTAAATGAGGCATTAAACAAATATGAAGAAATAAAAAGCTTTGATTGGCTCAGGGGATTTCAGCTTAGAGCTGACGAGGGAAACAGTGAATCGCAAGCAGATGATGTAAAATTTGTATTTGAGACCTTGCACGACTTTGAAGCAAAAAATAAGTAAAAACTACACAATATTCCAGGCCTTGATAAAGTTAGAGCACGTGATTTTTTAAAACAATCGAGTGCCAGTTTGAGTATATGCGATTGTTGATCGCAAGTGCAAGCTCTCTTTAACACACATCTACTATGGTGTTGCACAATAGTAACACATCACTATATTTTGTGGCGCCTTTTTAATCCAATTATGTTGTAGAACCCATTGAAACGTGCCTTTTATTGATTTCTGTAACGTTTGTATTAAATCTTTAATATAAATCATATAAACGTTTTGATTATTCATCTGTAAGCCAGGGAAAATAGCTGAATATACTATAGTTGGATTGAAGTACTCTGCGATAAAAATGAAAGAGGAATCACTGCGCTGTATGCTGTATGGGCAAAACTGCCGTAGATATACAGTTTTTGATTAAGAATCGCCATAGCGATAGATCAATATACTAAAACAAACCGATCTAATCGAAGCCTGGTAACTGAGCAAAAACTATGAATGCACTACCACATAAATATCCAAGGATAACCTTGTGAAACATATCTTGAATATTACTAACTATTAATTTAATGTGTACCGTTAAGAAGTGCAATGATTTTTTCTCTCCACTGCTCATTTCTCTTAAAGTCTTCTATTATCTTGGGAGCCCCGTCGGCTGCTTCCAAATAGCTATTGATCTGCATTCCCTTCAATCTTGTCATATTTTGGCTATCACGATCCTGGATTTCGCCCCATAGACTTTCAAGCTCTTCTTTTTTATCTTTAAGAGCTATTACCAACTCGGTAAGCAAAATCGCATTTCTTGACAAATACTTTTCTATTTTCTGTAGAATTACCCGGACATAGGTCTTTAGTGACGAGTTAAGTGCTACTGCATTTTCAACCTGCTTCTTTAAGATTTCAGGATCTGGAAGACTAAGCATCATACTGCCTCCAATAGTATCCAGAGATGCAATACTGAAGGAATTTACTATCTGGTTGATTAGATCGGCGACGTCTTTGTTTGAATTCAAGAATTCAGCGAATGCGGGATTCTTCCAATCAACAGTGTTAACGAAATCCACATTGTTACTCTTGCTTAGATCAACGTTAGAGTATTTCAATGCATTGTTGTTGACTCCATTAGCACCAAGAGGCTTTCCTATTTGTGGTTGCTTGGCCTGAGGTACAGGATGAAAAGGAGGCATCATTCCAAGTTGTGGCCCTTGCACACTTCCACCCGACCTAACAATTCCAATAAATTGAATCATGTGAAGCAGCATCATGGTGATGACAAATATTTTGTTTTTAAGTAAATTTGAAACAATGTTTTAAGAGTGAGACATGTAATAAGTCAGACATAGCCATTGGCCTACGATATATAAAAGATTGAAGGCAGAGATAGATTAGCAAACAAAAGATAAATGGACTAGAAGATAGGACATTCAAGGTGAATAATTGATGTTTGGACGCAATTGTAATGTAAGGCAGTTTTATGATGGGCAGCATATTCTAAAGAGCCCCATATAGTATCAGATGGTTGCCAGATAGCATATTAGTTGCTTATACTCTCACAAAATTTGCATCTCCGTTGACTCAATTAGCATTGTAGGCTGAACTCTACAAATGGGTTAATATAAGCTGGTTAGTACTGATCAACAGTTTAAAGCCTAGAATTTCATATAAATGCCCTTTAAGTAAAATAATCTGTACATCTAATGCTTTATTCTATTATTTGAAGGAAAATATCCTCTTCATTTTATTGTTGTCCTCGGCGGTGTATTCATAGCAATCGTTATGGTTATAGAAATCCTCTCCTTCGAGTAGATTGCCATTAAACACCGTGGTCTGTTTATATGGTATTTCATTGACTCCAATGTTTTCGGAAATAAGTTTATTATCATTTAATATCTCACTGAGTGATTCAATCGTGGCCTGTGGCATTGGTTTGTAGCTGTATCGTCTACTTCTGTAGTTAACCTTGACGTTCTGAAACTCGTAGTTGATCTTCCAGTAGGCTCCCTTTCCCTTCTTTTCGGTCCCGCGAGGTACCTTGTAAAAACAGCGGTTTAAGCTCAGGTTGTGTCTAATTGAATTCTGCCAGCCAGTTCTGGCAGAATCAAAATATGGGTAATGTGTGCTGATCCAAGAGTATATCTCCTTTAGAGTGAGCATGGCATCTGGCGAACTCTCGATCGCCATGGTAATCAGCTCGGCGTAGGAGATTGGCGGTCTTCTTTCCCTGCCGTGAAGGTTACTATAAGATCCCTCGGTGGTAAAGGAGTACTTTTCTGGACCATTTCCCTGGTGATTTCCTTTAAACATACAAACAAAACAAAGAAATTTTTTAAATTAATAAAAGTTATAAATAAATGATTTCATTAAAATGATTTGTAAATATGAAAATGATGTGGTTGTTGATTAAATTTAGTAGACAATGAACGAATAGGGAAGAATATCGAATAATTGAATGAATAAAGGGTATGACAGGTAATTTATAGTAAAGTATTTAGCCTTTATTTCAAGTATATACAATACTCATTTGTTTACAAGTCTCGAAAATGTAAATAAACAACTCAGTACAAAAAGTAGACATGCTCTGATCATGTGGTTTGATGCAACAAATGCTTTTTGTATGAGCGTGCCTAGATTGTGATAGGGTGAAAAGTTAATTTTAGATCTGAAACAAACAAAATTTTTGATATCACTACCTCGTCAAAGCACCTATCAGTTCTGATACCACAAACAAACAAGAAGAGATAGTCCTTAGTGGGATGATGTGTCGCCATTGCTCTGGATTAGTTGTTTGCAGGCCTCATTTATAAGATCCAGAAGTTATGTGCCAAGGTGTGAATTTTTTAAGAACTGCAGATATTACCTGAAATCACAAGGTTGGAATTAAACTACAAGAAGATGTGTTTGTATGGCATTTTATATTCTTGAAGCATGCCACTACTTTTATGCACACTTTGAGCGCTATCTTGTGTCCTTTGGCTTCTTTCATGTTTGAAAACACAAGGCACATTGTTTTACAGTCATCCTGCATTACAGTTATATGCGCATTACTTGTTTTCAATATCACGGCCGTCTTTAGGTATGCGGGTATTGCATACTGACAGGCATGCCTACAGATTTGAAGACACATATTTTATCAGCTGAGATATCCGAATAAGACTCTATTGCTTTATGGGGACGGGTAAGTCTGAAATTATAACCTAAAGAACCTGAGCTTCAAAAAGTTCCTCCAAACAAGTTCAGAAGCATTCTAGCTCTCAAAAATTTTGCTTGATCATCTTCGAAAGTTCATTGATAATCAAGTCAATTGCATCCACAAACACGTGCAGATCTGTGTTACTTAGTTAAACTATTCATGATTTTTAATGTTGACTTTTGTTTTCTGATTGCTTTTTCCAAAGTCGAAAAGTTTTAGATAAGCAAAGTTTTTTGTGAGGAGATAACCATTAATCATTGCAAAACAAAAAATTTACCTAAACGGATGACAAAACTCTAATTTATTGATAATTCAGACTTATTTTAACATTCTTAATGATTTCTAGTATTTGCGGCACCGTTACTTCAAATATTTCTGTATTTTGCATTGAAACGTGATTCTTTAATCTTTTATTGGCTTGACGTGAGTTTTGAAACCACACCTGCACGCTCTTCTCTGGCATTGACAGGAGTATTGCTAGGTCTTTCCTGGTACTTGAGGATGGAAAGCACGTTATTTCATAAACGCATTCCAAAACTTTTGTCTGGAATGCGCTCTTTTTGAACTTAACATTCTGTTCGTCAAACTTTCCAACGTTCCGTAGTTTCATAATACCCATCAGAGCATGCAACTCCTTCTCCGGCTTGGGCAATCCAAAATAGTCTTGATTCATTGCAGGGGTACTTTTATCAAATATTTATAAAAAATGGTGAAAATTTTTAAAGATGCACATACTAATTCTGCTCTGATTTGTGGATGAAAACCTGAGCTTGAATGTAGGGAGCCTTCAGATTTTTGGAGCATCCTATGCTCTGCAGAACTGGGGGTTAATAACTTTTGGAACTTCGAATGTGAAAGCTAAAGAACAATATGAAAATAATTCAGAAAAAATAACCATCGGTAATATAACGCTGTGGACATAATATTTTTATGTTTACTTTTATTTGCTTTGCATTCTTGAAGGCTTTGCAAAGATGAGATTAACAGTTGACTCTTTTGACTTTGACTTGCCAAAAATATCTTTGATACTAGAATGGGCCCAGCAGATGCGATTTCAGATTAGAGCAATAAAGTGGAATACTGAAGCTCAGTCCCATGTTTTCTTCTGTGCAGATGTTTCAAAGAATGCAGATCACGTGAATATTACAGACAATAATATGACAGAAATGTGATAGGAATTGTTAGAAAAAGTCCTAAAAGCGAAGCTATGCTGGAGATATCAATAGCTATTCCCAGACCCTCATTGTAACCATGCTCTATAGTGCAACACAATGAAGGCCATCTCATTTGATGTTTGCTGCATGCACACTTATTGAAACCGCCAATAATACTACAGAGAAACATTACAACAAAAAAGTTTGCAAGAATGAGACATTGGTGAAACAGCCTTAAATGCAAATTAAACATAGCATTATAATATTACTGCATTATTTTTACTACAAACATTAGTTTTGAGGTGAGCAAAATGTCTCATAGCCTCAAATAACAAATGCTCTAAATTTAGCACGAACGGAAGCAATTGTTTTATGCTTCAACCATTCAATCCGTTCGTTTGCTATACACCTCCAATATTTTTTAAAATTTTTGCATCATGTAAAAGTTTTACAAGATATATTATATGGAAGTGTGAGAAAGGAGACATAGGCAGCCAGATATTCCATATGGAAAAATTGCCTTAATGTGATGTACTTTTGAATGGCGTCCTTAGCACATTTCGTGTTCAAAAATGCTGTAGCCTGATACTTCAAACGAACTCTTAATAGATATTTAATTATTTAAATACTTTCTTGCACTATTTACTACCTGTTCTGGGAATCTAGCCAGCTCTGCAACATTAATTCCAAACGAAAGATCACAAATGCCGTCTCCAACCTTATATGTTAGAACATTGCCCTCAACGCACATTTTCTTATTCATTGTTGCCTCATTTCCTAATTCGCTAAAGTGAGTTGCCATGGCAACCTTTGCGCCAAGTTTAATCAGGTAATCGCGCACTGCTAATGCAAGACTCAGACCGTCAGACGCAGAAGTTCCTCGTCCAAGCTCATCAATAAGAATCAAGGATCGTGGCGTGGCTGTTCTCAATATCCTGTTCAACTCTGTCATCTCAACCATAAAAGTGGATAGCTTTTGACTGGTGTAATCCTTGGCGCCGATTCTGAAAAAAATTTTATCAAATATGGGCAAGGTTGCAGACTGTGCAGGAACATAGCAGCCTATCTGTGCATACAAACTAACAATGCCAAGCGTCTTGATGAATGTACTTTTCCCGCCCATATTGGGGCCTGTCAGTATACAGACACTGTTGGTGAACTTTACACTGTTCAAAATGCAGTCCTTGTGCTCTAATAGTGGATGGTGCATGCCTTCAACTTCATATATGGTTTCGCTAAATACTGGCCTTGAATACAGATCTGAGCCGACTTTAGATGATAATGCTTTGTAAATATCAATCAAGGCAACTAGATAGTTAAATGCCTCCAGTGAACTTGTAAAGTTCAGCAAAGTACTGGCTAGTGATTGAAAAATTTGGTTTTCGATTTTTGTGATTTCGCTTTCGACTGCCAAAATCTTTTCATTCAGGTCTGATAAATTTTTCGTGAGGAAGAGCACACCTGTTTTAAGCATAGAAGCGACTACGTATTTCTTGGAGTCAAAGTCAGATTGGTTGTACTCAAGTCTGGATATCTTAAAGTGTTTGTTTGAAAATGAAACACGCGGATAATCTTTCTTTACCTTTAGAAACTCCTTTTCAATCTCCGCTAAAATTTCAAATTTTTGATTTTCCAGTCCTTTAAGATCCTCAGAAAGACATGTATGGACACGTGAAGTATTAAAATCAAGGGTGTCTTTTATTTGCTGGGTAGCTGGTAGGAACAGAGTCTTCAAGCTCTCTAGTGGATTGATGAAACTATCAACAACCAAACCAGTGCTTGAACAGGCACTATCTTTGAATGCACCGATCAGGCCTTCAATCTGGTCAAGAGTCTGGCAAAGCTTGACAGTTTCCTGAGTAGTAATTGATCTGCTGCATATCCTCGCTATGATTCTTTTCAAATCAATAAATTTGCAAACAGAAATATTAATTCTGCTAAAGCTTTCGACAAGATCCAGTCTTCTATTAATTTCAGATTGATTCAAGCAGGGACTACGTATCCATTGATTCAGAAGCCTCTTTCCCTGCTGAGTAGCCAATCCAAAATCAACCAGATCGAAATCAGCAATGTTTACTACACAACAGTCCTCTTTTGCGAACTCTGCAACCTCAAGGTCCATCTTCATATACTTTTTAATCATCTCTTCGCTGGTTTTGCATTTTGATTCGATGCATGCTATTCCCCAGTTGTTGAATATCCTCTCAAGGCTTGAGTTATTGGGTAAGGCCTTGTTAAACACAATTTCAATGCAGTTGTTTGAACTACAAAGTGAAAAGAGATTGCTTAGCAGATCATCATCATGAAATTTACATTTAAGTATCTTTGAATCTTTTATAAACGAAACATCAATTTCTGAATTTTCTATCAATACAACAGCAAAGACGGTTGGAGGAATTCCATCTCCGATGCAGATATCTAGAAAGTCGCAGTGGTTGCCGGGGAATCCCTTCTTCGTTAGTGTGTATTCACAGTATTCCTCTACGGGAACTTTCTTTACCATTAGCATTTCTTTAACAACATTTTCCACGCTCTGTAGTCTTACAAACGTGCTTTTCTCACTTCTAGGTCTGAGTTCGGCCGGAAGATAGTCCAAGTCTGTATTGTATATGTAGTAATATTCGCCCTTGATAAAATATTTGAATTTTTTTGGATCTAGGGTCCTGTAGAATGCATTGAAAGCCTCTTCCATAGGGATAAAATTTTATAGATGCTAACTAATGCCTATAGATACATTCCCTGAAGCGGCAAAACAAAAAGACATGACGGTGCATAGAAAGAGCATATCCGCAGCATATTTAAATAATGGAACCAATGCCGAATGGCTGTAAAATTTTTAAACTTCAAAGTGCTTTGCCCACTTAAATGGTATATCAAGAAATAAGAAGAGACTTCGAGGAAGCAATGGCAGATTTGGAGAAAGTAGACAGCAAGACAGTCGAGTCTGAGGAGTTAAAAAACAACTTGAAGATTGCAATGGAGGTCAGAGTTGATCCGAGAGAGGCAGAAAGCCAGATCATCCCACAGAATAATTTAGAAGTCCAAGCTAAGAAAAGATCATCCAAGAAGAGAAAATGCGCAAACTGCACCTGTGGAAGATCAAGGAATAAAAGCTTAGAGACAAGCAAAGATTCAAGGGAGGGGTGTGGAGAATTTGAAGTAAAGCCGCCCAAAAGTGGATGCGGAAGCTGCTATCTTGGAGATGCATTTAGATGTGACGGTTGTCCGTATAAGGGAATGCCTGCATTTAAGGAAGGAGAAGAGTTCAAGTTTGATGATAAGCTGAATGATCTGTAAGTTTGCATATTCATTAAAGTTGTTTTCTAAAAATAAAAAACAATGCAATAGTATTAGAATATGGCTGTGCTGGCACAGCATTAACATTTAAAGTGGTATTACACTAGTACTGCTTGTTTCTAGATTAGTACTTGATGTATCTTATTTGCCATTAGTTGAGGCTTTGCAATAAGACGATGCTCCATTGAAATACTAGTTGTAAATTATCCCCTATGAAATTTACCAGCTGGCCCGAGCCACCAATTCAAAAGAGTTACAATCCACCAGAGATTCCAACAAAACTCAGATGTTTTGGACTAGGCTACACAGTCAACAATGGAAACCCAAAACTTGATATTCCCCGCAAGGCTCTTGATAAGGATAAAATGAAGGAGTGTATTGAGAACTCCTTTAAACTCTTTTTGAAAGCTTTAAAAACACTTGATGGGTCAATTTTAAACGAGATCAGAGACATACATACGCATATTAATGAAGAGATAAACAAAGCAATTGCATTTGAAGATGAGGGCGGCATTAAAGAAGCAAAAAATAGGAAAGTATCTATGAAAAACGAGATTCTAGACAGAATTCAAAGAATAATCAATTGAAATGCTTAATGCCAGCAAATCATTAAATACAGCTACCAACCAGAATCCAAGTCTTATGCCGACATTCCAGCAAAATTTGGAACTACATCTTGGTGGCATTGCAGCTTTAGAGGCTATACTTGTACTTTGGAAGATATAGGGCATGAGGAAATATTCCCATTTTCAATAAACAATTTTGATTCCATATGGCGTGTTTTAGATTACACTAAGCAATATACACCAGCGCTTTAATAATACTTTTGCAACACCTTTAACGTACTATAAACATATAAAACTACAGATACAAAGCTTTCAAAGACAATTTACCTTAGAAACACTTCCTATGAACAACAGATGGTCCATGCTCAGTATACTCCTCCTTGGTCACCCACATTTGCTGGAAGGTAGAAAGCGAAGCAAGGATGGATCCTCCGATCCAAACAGAGTACTTTCTCTCAGCAGGTGCCACGACCTTAACACGCATAGAAGACGAGGCAAACTTGGTAATCTCATTCTGGATTCTCTCGGCCATGTTAGGGAACACAGTGGAGCCACCACTCAAGACAATGGAGCCGTAGAGATCCTTTCGGATATCAACATCGCAGTTTAGTATTGAATCATAGATTGCATGCTGGATGCCCTTGCATTCCATGCCATAAAGACTGGGATTAAATAGAATTTCAGGAGCTCTGAATCTCTGAGTTCCGAGCTTTACAACCACACCATCAGGCAATTCATACTCCTTCTCTTCATTATTTGTCAACATCTCGTTTTCAAAATCAAGAGACACATAGCAGAGCTTCTCCTTCATATCTCTGACTATCTCAGCCTCTGCCGAAGTATTCATACTTATTCCTGACTCTGTAAGAATCTTCTTGAGATATTGAGTTATGTCTCTACCCGCAAGGTCGATTCTCTTGATCGCATGAGGAAGAGAGTATCCTTCGTAGATGGGAACAACATGAGAAACACCGTCTCCCGAATCAAAGACAATACCGGTGGTGCGGCCAGAGGCATAGAGGCTCAAAACTGCTTGAATCTGGAGGAACCATGCTGGCACTTGGAATGTCTCGAACATTATCTGAATCATCTTTTCTCTGTTAGCCTTTGGATTGAGAGGCGCTTCTGTAAGTAGAACTGCGTGTTCCTCAGGAGCCACTCTCAGCTCATTGTAGAAAGTATGATGCCAGATTTTCTCCATTGAGTCCCAGTTGGTGACAATGCCATGCTCAATGGGATACTTCAGCTCAAGAATTCCTCTCTTCTTCTGGGCTTCATCACCAACATATGAGTCCTTCTGTCCCATACCCACCATTACCCCCTGGTGGCGAGGAGTACCAATGATGGACGGGAAGACTGCGCGAGGTGCATCGTCCCCTGCAAATCCAGCCTTTACAACACCACTTCCATTGTCTATTACAATTGGGCTTTTTGCGTCTGTTGCCATGATGGGGTTCAAACTTTTTGAATTTAAAAACATAATTTTGGAGGGAACTCTTAAAATTTTTAAAAGCTGCTCCACTGACTCGGAAAGCTCGGTAGAAGCGCTATAATTTAATTAAATGCATAGCTTGTATTTCATATCTTATCTATAACTATGGAAAGAAAGTACTTTTAACTAAACTGTCAAGCATAAACACTCCTGACATGATTTCTGAGTATTGCTATGCTGCTAGACATGTGTGCAAGTTGACAATGAATGCATATATAAGCACTAAATGGCATTTATTCTATGATCACTTGTGGAAGGTCAAGTTTGAAAAGAATCTATTTAATTAATAACTCCGTTTGTGAGGTACTTTGATATAGCTGGCTATGTAGCAATGACTAGCACTTTTCTAGACTGTCCCCTACTCGAACAAGCGTTTCGATTCCAGAAAGTGAATTTCCACTGATTTCTTCCTTAAGCTCCCATTTAAAATCAGTTATAAGTACAACACAGGACCCTCCAAATTTAAAATATCCAATCTCATCCATTTGGTCCAAGTGATCTCCGGCCTTGACAGATAAAACAATAGATCCTACCAGCGTAGCCCCAACTGCTACATAGTAGATAGTTCCTCGGCCTGTTTTAAGTACTATTACTGATCTTGCGTTTTCATCCAAAACTCTGTTGAACTTATTGATCGGATTCACACTGTGGTATGAGCCTTGAATGTGGTAAATCGAAACTACCTCGCAGGAAAGTGGCGCATGGAATCTATGGTAGTCTTGTGGCGCTAACCTGCATATGCATATGTTTTCAAAAGCAACATGTCTTTCCAACAGCTCTTCGACCTTAAAAAACTTCCCTTTGATACCCAGCAGTTTTCCATCAGCGTTTCCAAGGAGCCTACAGTCTGCTGGAGACGACACTTTACCAGAAACTTCAACAAATCTAGCATTTGGTTTTAGTTTTCTACTAAAGAAGTCATTGAAACTTGTAAATTCGCGTTTTTCGCATTCATTAATATCAATCTTGTACATTCTTATAAATTTTTTTATTGACCGTACTGATGTGTGAGAGTCAAATCTTTGGCCTGCAACTACGGTAAGATATCGCATTATCTTGGATGCTATGAAGCTTCTATAGACACCAGACCTGTAAAGAAGATTTAAAATCAATTTTTGTGATACTGGAATGTACTCTTTGATAATTTTATGTGTGTTGAGCTCCTTAACATAGACCGAGCCACCAAGAGGGGTGATGTATGCCAGAAGCTTGTTTATGAATGATCTTTTCAGTATTAGATTAAAGTACTCTGAAGTTTTTATCATTGATCGGTTGACTGACGGCCAAACTGAAACTTGTTTAAGCTCAAAATACTCAGTAGAAATCTCAAACGTATGAGAATTAAACGTGTTTCTAGAGTACAGTGAGGATATTCTTTTAAAATACATACGTCTAACCATCTCCAAAATAAACTTTTTCAGCATGTTACTTTTTTTGAAGAGGATGTGAAGCTTTTTGAGAAGGCTTGGCGCAAGCTTCGAATCAATAAAGTCCAAAAGAGCATTAATGTCGTCTTGTCGTTGGACATTATTGTGTGGAACTATTCTACCATTCACCAGATCGATGTCTACGATTTGGCAAATAGAGGATTTTGATGCCACAATACATGTAACACTTGTGAGAGACTCATCCAGTAAGACTGTCTCGGGAAATGTTGCTATTCTTACTTTTGAATTAAACTCCAGCGACACAATCTTTATTTGGCAGTGGCTGACTTTTGAATCTATCACGAACAGATTCATGGGAGTAAAGTTAAAAAGCAACAAACACCAGATTCTTGACTACACCAATCTCTAGGATTCAAATAGGCTACAACAATACATCACATTGGGCGACTTCCGATAGCCACAAGCTTTGTCTACATCTGTAGAATAGCTGCTTGGTTCCAATAAAATAAAGGTATCTAAAGGCGTAGTCGCTTGTGTGGCAAAGTTTTGTGCCTCAAAACCAACACACTTGCTTTTTATCCGTTATTTGCATGCTGCCGGTTGGCCGTCACATCCAACCGGAGTATGAATGGGTACTGCTGAAAACATTTGAAGTTATCTGGCGTAGAAATTATTTTGTCTTATTTTCAGTACAGCTAGCTTTGTTTTGCTTCCCCTGATGAAGCTTTCGGACTACGAAGCAAATATCAGTGAAAAAGTAGAAGAAGATTCAACAAACGAGGAACCAGAAATTCAAAGTGCTGTAGAGTCGGTAGACACGGACGATGCATGCTTTACATCACAGGAGGTGTCAATTATCAAATCTCTGCTGTCGCTGGCGCCGCCACCTTCCTCGAGAGAGTCAAAGAAGCTTTTAAATAGCATAAGCTCCAGCTCAATCAAGCAAATCTATGCCAAATATTGACACTTACAAAAGCCACAAATAAGGAGTTTGTGCATTATCTCGAAGTAATGCTAAGGTTTCCACATAAAAGCATAGACTTTGACGACTTGGTTGATGTGAAGTTTACAGCACAAGATAAATATCTTAACCAGCTTGTCTACATATACTTTAGCATTATAGAACAATGCTACAGCCAAATGAGCTATGAGCAGAAACTCAAAGTCTTGTTCAGGTATCTGTTCCTGTTTTCCACCCACATCATGCTTGATCTTTCTATTTACCGACTTTTTGCTAACGTTCTTGAGCGTGACTTTCTTCATTTTTTTGTAGACAGGAAGCTTTTTCTAAATTTCCCATTTACAAAGGAGTTTATATTGGATTTTGCACACAGATTGCCTGAAAAAATAATCAAAGTTGGATATGAATTACCTGTATTTAGGAGCCTTGTATATTTCTGTTGCTCTTCTGACACGCAACATTCTCCAACTCCCCTGAACTGGATCATTAGACGGTGGAATATTCAGACAAAGCAAAGCATTCCATCGCTCTTTTACCACCACGATTGCACACTATTTCTTGAGCCAATTGCACACGAGAAGTTTCAAAGCTTGGACAATCCACTGTTGGAACTCAGGAAAGATCTGAAGAACTGCTCTAACTGCTGTATTTGCTTTTCACAGAAGAACTCAGAAGCAAAAATTCAAAAATGTTTGCAAATGAAGCACGATATGGCACAGAGCATCGATGAGTTTAACAGATCAAATGTCATGTGCAGTCCCTTGAGTATTGATGTGGTCAGGCTTCTTCCATCGATTGATATTAAATCTCTTGGAGCATTTTTATGCAAAGAAAAAAACCTACCATGCTTGATAAGATTTGCCCAATCCTTTGATTTCAAGGACACCGGCATCCTCGAGGCTTTACGAATATTTCTGTCTTCATTTGTCATGGGTGGTGAAAGCCAAGTGATCGATCGTGTCATTACAGTCTATGCTAATGAGTTTGTTAATCAAAATATTGGCAATATCAAAGACTTTCCCGAAAGTCTACGCTGGCAAGATACACAAAATACCAAGAAAACTGCAAGAGAGTATCTTACGGATTTATTGTCCTTAATACAATGATGTTTAATCCTACCATTGAAAAAAAGCTTGCTTTTGAGGACTTTCTCAAACAGCTAAACTACAGTGATACCACCTTTATCGATGGTGATAATGAACGCCTATCGTTTGATACGGAGGATTTGCGTGGATTCTACAATAGTATTCAGGAGAATGAAATGAAGGTTCCGAGCATGTGGGTTGATGGCTATGATAAGTTTCTGTTGTTTAAAAAACACATAGATACCTTAGAAAAGAACTGTCCAATCAACCAGAGTCAATCCACGGCTGCTCTGGCTAATGCAACGAAAGACGGACTTGAGATATGCAACGAGTGTGTCATTGCTTGCTACAGACAGTTATTTAGGGATGGGTTCAAGTCATTTACCTTTTTAGCACCTGAGTTATTTTTCAAGATTTCGTTGATATTGGATTGCAAGACAGAGTTTGGATATTACGTAGATTTTCATAAAAAAGATATTTCAAGATTCCTAGAATCTTCCAAACTTTATCTCGAGAATTTTCCAGCCAGTCAGTTATTTGTTAATACTGTGCTTGACGCGCTAGAAAAAACCGAAAAACCAAAGACTTCAGTTTTGCCTGACATTAAGTCTATGTTCAGCAAGGCTCCATCACAGAAATTAAAGAAAAACCAATTTCTGCACTTTCTCAATTCATGTTGTCCGTCAATAGCTGCCTGGATATTCAATTTGCCAGCAAAGAGATTTGTAGCAAAAATTGTATGCTATTAGACAGTCTCTCAGAGTCTCGTCGAAGCTATGTCAGAAAAATCTGCCACACAATCATTATTAACAACTCAGATATGATCGATGATTTTTCGCAATATAGCAACGAGCTTCAGCTGAAAATTGTAGATACAAACCCTGGCAAAATTTTGTGTAGTGTGAAAGACAGTATTAAAGCAAAATTTCTACTTCAGGAGTTTAGAAGTGGAAATACCACAGAGGACTATCATGATGCTTTTAACCACATTGAGGTATACAACCAAGACACGTTTGATGCATTTTGCATATTGCAGTCAAAGTATGATGATTTTGGCCGCATAGTTAAAGTTTACAAAGTTACAGACAACGACTCGAAGGAGAAATTTTGCTTTGACGAAAAGTTCCAGGAACAACTGGCCAATCCTGCAGGCATTCTTAAGCTATTTACATCTTCGTCGTCAATCTTGAATGTAAAATTTACTAAAAAGATTCACAAAGACTCCTGTCCAATGGACGATCCAAAATTTAACGATTTTGACAAGATTGTGTACCTGATTCTCAAATGCGATAGAAAGGATAGAGTCTTGGTAGAATATGCCTCGTGCATCATCAATTATATGAGTGACAGCTTAGTTCTTCTTGTAAATCTGTATGAGCACATTTTCCCAATCTTTTTACAGATCTCATCTGAGTTTTCAGGTATACTCGTCAAAATACTCATAAAGAGGATCAAGATGTTTATTGAGAATGGAGTAGCATGCTGTGAAGAAACAAAAGATCACGAAATCACATTCAAAATAAAACGCTTGGTGAACACGCTTCAGCAAAACTCTCTTATTTCCGAGGCTGATTTAAAGTCCTTTGGTGTACAAGCCATAAATAAGCCCGATGTCGTTGAATTATAAATATGAATTAAATTAACACATATGCAAGTACTGGACTGTTAATAAGCTCACTGTGGCATCGAATCCTCAGATTAAAACGTTTAGATTCCAATTAATTTCACGTACGTGACTAAAATATTTTTATGATACTTTGCATCGACCAAGACAAAACCACCGTGCCATCAGAATATCCACCCTATTCTCCATCGGCTGCTGTAGATCAAATAAGTGATTTATTCTAAATTCAACGGGATATAGTTTATGAAGGAATCCCATGCCATTTTTGTTCTATCTGATAAATGAGTTTCTAAAATTTTACCCAGTAGGTATCTGTCTATCGTCCTCTTTTTGCTGTTTGTTTCCTCATCTGAATCTATTCCGAATTTTAATCTTATTTCGCAGGTCTCTTCGGATGAAATGCTGTGTCGATTGTTCTGAAACCAAATCTGGATGCTCCTTGATGTGTGATTTAATATCAGCGCCAGATCTTCTCTTGTGTCAGAGGATGGAAACTTGGTTATCGCAAATACATCAACCAGAACCGCTTTTTGAAAATCGTTTTTGTGGGTCCTTACTTTTCTGCTACTAGACAATAACTCCCCCCTCTTGAGCTTCATCAGACCTAGAAGTGCCTCCAAATTGTTTTCCCTGGCTTTCTTGCAGGAGACATCTGTGTCCTGGTCAGCTTTAAGTGTCATATGGGTTAAAATTAAAATTCTGATATTTATCCAGCATCAAGAGAAGTAAATTTTATGTCAACTTCCATCAATTATTTAAAAATAGTTTAAAAATTTTCAATGCAAAAACATTTATTACTTGGCCATTAACTAAATACAATACAAACAGGATCTACAAATGTCTTTCTACAGTTGCATATTTCAATCAATGTCTTCTTTTAATTATGTGTCAAACTTAAAAAATTTTTAAACTCAATTAAAAATCGAAGGAATTATGGAGTGCTTGATTAAAAAGCAGGCAGTACCCCATCAACATCAGCACATAGGACATTTTGGAACTTCAAATACGCATTGGAGGCCTGGTTATATCGAACAACGGAAGCAGTCTCTTAAACACAAAGAGGCTAATCAAATATACAAATGTAGTTTAAATTAAGGTTAACACGATAAATACTTATGAACTAATTTTGCTGACAATTCATTTAGTAACAAACATATAATTACCAAAGAGATTAATTTATTATACTGGTTGGATATTCCATAGTGCTGGGCCTGTAGCTGAGTCAAAATGAACTGTTGCTGCATTGTCTTTTGCTAGCCCTGGAACGCACAAGTAGCATCTTGCCATGTACTTTCCAGTATCAGCCTTAAATCCGAATTTATCCCCGACTTTTTCAACTGTCCACTGAGCATATGGTGCACCATTTGGATCCTTAATATGGTTGAAAACACTGTCTGGATACTTACCACCTCTCCAACAGCCATTACATCTCGCAGCATATTGACCAATATCAGACTTTAGAATACACTTTCCGTCTAGCGACGATAGCGTCCACATAGCAAACCCGTCTCCAGCTCTTCCGTGGACAGTGACCGAATTAGGATTGGAGCCGCTGCCGCATCCGTAGCATCTAGCTAGATACAGTCCATTGTCTGCAACAATATAGACCTTCTTGCCCTCAAATCCACCACAGTTATCAGTTTTTGGAGGCTGCTTTGGTGTTACGGGCTTGACATCCACTGGTGTGCTTTTTGGAGGCTTACAAAGACCATAATCACTGTCGTATTTGTACCAGTCATGTGAGTCCCTGCCGTCATGCACATCGTGAATCCCACCATGTATTCGGAAACCATTTCCACAACGGAAATCGTC